GAACTATGTGAGCAACTACTATTGCTCAAATACCTACATCCAGAGTCCAATTGAGAAGGGTTACGCACAAGTTTAAAATAGTAGTATTTGGCATAATTGCCATTAGATATCCCTAAATCTTATTTCAAGTGGAAAGATAACCTCATTAGTTCTACTCAAAGCTGTTATCATTTTAAAATAACAGTACCGTGCTGTCTTCTGATAAGCACCAGTTAACCTCAAATTGTATTTAAAGGCTTTTACTGTATGCCAATGGTGACCTACTATCAAACCTAGAAGATCCTATCTTCCATTTTGCACAGGAGACACAATGCAATATTACTGCTTTGCAACAAAGACCTAAGTCCTGTAGTAGGGTGGGAGGAAAGGCAATTCAAAAAAAGTGTTAAGCTTTTTCCCTGGAATCTGTTGTGACAGAAGTAGTTCTGTACGTTCACAAGGCATATTCCCTCTTACTCTTCTCCCTACCCCAAAAAATACCTGGAAGTTTTTCTTGTTCACTTCAGCCAATCCATGAAGTACATCAACAGACATTTGGCAATCTAAGTTCCAGCAATGCAAGGGAAGCTTAACAATGTAGCTGGTAGGAACAATTTCCCTCTCTCCCTCCATGGTTCTGCAAGGAACCTGAAATCTGGTAGAGAGTCTAAAATGCAAGATGATCAGGCAGTATTTAACATATGTACAATGTTTACACTGTGACATACTTTCGGATTAAGTTATATATGGAGTTGACATAATAGATGCTATCTGACAATATGGTTATCTAAAAGCTTCATGAAGATATAATTTACACAGTGCCCCAAATCTGTCAGATAACAATAACGCTGGTCTCAAACTCAAATGTGGTTCAAAAGTCAAGGAAGTTGAGGTCATTACCTTAGTCTTTCCTCCCTGTTCAAACTGGCAACCCTACTTGTGATTGAAATGGCTGCACTGGTGGTACAACTGTACCTATTTAGAAACCCAATATTTATTAAGTAAGTACAGTTTTTTTAAGTGAAAAATATTACATCCAAATCAACCTTACCGTTTTCTCTTTTAAATAAAGAGAGGTTTTGCATGTCTTACGTGGCAGTGCCAACTGTAAAATGCTCCTGAAACACTCATTGCACGCCACCAAAACCTTAAAGATTCAAGAAGTTTTTCATTCCAATAATTAAAATACAAGTAGGAAAAAAAGAAAAAAATTATCTTTAAATCCCTTTCAATAGCACAGCCATCCTACTTGGGAGCTGTAGAGAGCTAACTAAGCTCCTTAATTCTCTTCTATTTAACCCACTCCTGAAGACTGACGTTCTAATGAGATATCAGTAAAAGATTCTGTCCTTTGCCATAGAACATAGAAATGATTCTGCAATACATTCCAGGCTAAACCAGACATTTAACTGCTGTACAATTGGTTAACATAACGCAGTTTGAGAGTTTGCATACTTTTATACAGGAGAGAAGGTACTGTATAACAGGTCTGCCTCCAGGCAGGTCACAGAGATCACAATAACCCACCCAAAGAGAAGGAAACCTAGCTGTCACCATTGGGATAGCAGAAACCCACATGCTGTAGTAGTTTATATAGTCTGTCAGTTGCTTCAGCAGTGATGAATTTTTCTTCCTTTGGCTGCCTGCCACTGAACAAGAGCTAATCTTGCACCTAAACAATCTAGGCATTAAACGCACAGGAAGCCTTATCTTCTGACTTTTGACAGAAGATGACAGACAGAGCTGGTGAAAATAAAGAGGCACTGCCCTAATAGCCAAAGGCAGCAACCCTTTAAGTACAGCATGATTTTTAACACCCATCCAACTCTATATCTTGGCACTAAGAGTTGACACATCTGCTTTGCCAGCAACGGATGTCACAGTGGGAAAAATCTGACTTGGACAGTATAAACACAGAAGAGAAACTTAAGACCACCCAAAACATCCTTATTTGTTCTGTCTTCTTAATGTATATAATAATGATATCTGAATCAAGTGCATCTATCCTAAACAAATCCTCAGGTGCTTCTGTTTCATGTATGCAATCCTCACTCAGTAACTATTCATCTTAAAAATAATTATCTCTGAAAGCAGTATGAGAATCCACACACAACATCCCCTTAAGAATTAACCTTTGAAATTATTTTTAAAAAATAATAATAAACCCCACATAGAAACAAGACACACACACACCCCAAAAAAAAAATCCACAAAAAACCCCACAAACTAGCCAAAAATACACCGAAAAAATTAATTCCTGACCACTCTTCAGCCAGCAGGTTAAAATGCAGCAGCAGGACCTGGATTTAAGCACACAGTTATGCAATTAAACACTGCAAAATGCCAAAGCTAAAGTTGTGAAGGAAGCCTTACAATGGCCATTTCGGGACTCAAGTGCAACATACTCAAGTGAAAAGCTCTGTTTGCATATGGAAAGTTCAGCGCAATTAAATCTGTTGACAGCAACATTCAAGTCCTGACTAACTTTGTTTTAGTCAAATTGTAATAGATTAGCAAATCAAATGAAGAGGAAACTGCTGATGCAACTGCATCGATACAAGAAATCAACCCTTTCACACACACAGGCAACCTGCAACTATTTCCTTTCATCAAAGTGACTACCTTAACAGTGAGGTATGCACAACGCTGCATAAAGAAACGCTGCTGCAGTGTAATTTTTTGTTTTTCAATCAGCAGCCCAAGCACTCTGAAGGGCTTCACACAGAGCAAGTGCAGCATCCACACAGGAGGCAGGCCTTAAAAACATTAAAGCTTGTTCAGCGGAAAGTTTCCCCATCACTGCATTTTTCAGTAACAAAGATGTTGTCAGAAATGACAATTTTTCGTGTCCCCTGATGATGCCTTGCTAGCATTTGGTTATAAGCCATAAAGCAGGAATAATTTCAGCCTGTCAGGAGTCTAGCTAATGCCCAGTTTCCCCCTAGAGAGAATTCCTGTCAAATGTAATGAGAGCTCCAAAGGCCCTCTCTACAACATAATGAGCACTTAGGCCACGCTGGTGATCAGCCAGCAAAAAGCATCAATTTGAGCCTGGCTACACCCTTGGGGCTAGACATCACCAGTTTTAATAAGAATTATGATTACTATCTGCCAAAAGCCTCCTCAGAACTTACCGTTAGCAGTGAAAATTCAGAAAGATGTCATTGGTAGATTACAGGAAACAAAAAAAAACCACCTAAGACCACCTACATACTGAACTGTAACACCATTTGGCATCCTCATCACAGGCATCTAAAACGAGAATCTTTAACAAGAAGGTACTACTTTTATCAGAAATTAGAATTGCTTAACGTGTAAAAGCGTAGTATCTGAGACTGATATTCGGTGAGATGTATTTATGCCCTAAAAGCTTAACGGCATACACAGATTAAGACTCTCCCCAGCTAGAACCAACATATATATAATGTTCTGTCATAAATCTTAAAAGCTTCCAAAGTATCACTGCCTACTGAGTATGTAATTATAGTTGCCATACATACAGAACATTAAACCCTTGCAATACACAGATGTTAAGGTCAAAGTGGAAACCTCAGTTCTGACACTCTTTAATCTTGCGGGTTTAATTGATTTTATCTGAAGTTAATTCCTAGTACATTTACTGAAGTCACATGTTCTTTTCAAGATGTTCTGAAAACAACACTCATTTCACACCAAATGAGGCTCCTATTAGAGATGTTGACTTCCTCACAGGTTACAGCGTGCCAAAAAGTCATTTAGGAGAGGAAAAAAAATTAATCGCAGAAAGAAAGAAATGTCCAAAGCACAAAGCCTGGAAAAGTCACCTCAGAAAAACTGACATTCTTCTAAAACACAAGACAGGAACACAGCTACAGTACAGACCCAAGCCAAACACTAGTCTAGTTGTTTTGTCTATCTAGTCAGTGCATTACTTAAAAAAAAAAAGTTGTAACAATATTTCTTATTTTACCATCATTTTGGATTCGAACAAATGTACCTCTAAAAACCAAGAGGATACCTACTTAGTCTTGCAGACAGAAAGTTATCACAGAATTACAATACCACCTTATCTAATATTATATTTTTCGGAGAAAATAAAACAAAAATCAAAGAGTTCAGAGTTACAAAAGCAAAATTAAACTCTGCAGTTCACTTGCTTAATGAAAGTCTTTGAATATACTGAAGATCCAAAGCCTGAACTAATCAATTTCTTCGCTGTGCCCCAGCCGGTCAGCCATGCTCTTTAATTTAATGAAACAAGAGTTTTAGATGAAATAGCACATACACATCACAAAAGAATTGTATTGTTGCACTTTGAAATGTGTCCAACTGTGCAACTTCATCTAATGATAATTTTTTTTAAGAGGCCATCGATTTCTGAAAGACTTTATTGTACCAGCATCTTGATGAAAAAGTGAATGTCAGCATATCTACAGAATACTTACACCCTGCCATTAATGCTTTATTTGGCAGACAATGACTACTCAATTGAGGGTCCTCTGGGCTGAGCAATCATTTAGCTTTTCTTCTCTTACGAGGTCCTTAGTGTCTTGTTCCAGTTCAATACTCTTGATTCACCATTATAGTAGCCATAAGTGTGAATTTTATGGGAACTTGCAAACTCATAGTCATAACTAGAGCTTTCCAAGTCACTAATCTTTTCATACCTTTAAATGGCAAGGATTTGAGCAACCACTGCTACATATGCTACGGACGCATAAGACCAGTTCTACATATCAAAGGCTCTACCACCAACAAAAGAAAACCACAGAAAGCACTGAATTATATCTTTGAAACCACAGACACAAGACCTTTCCTACTTTTGCTAATGTCCTTCAGGACCAACACCAAGAAAGCCTTGTCACTCAACATAATCTATACCTCATTTGACAGCAGGTAGGCAAAGGTTTACTAGTCACAGCTACAAATCAGCCTATTGATTCGGACACATGATACAGTCATCCAAACATAAACAGAACAGCTACATTTCAATGCATTAGAGAGACTGCAGATTTTGTGGTTTAGAAAACAAAATACCTTACCTGTTTGTGCATTTCAATGTTTAATCCATACGACATTTCATAATACTGCAAATAAAGGAGCACACATTATTTTCTTATGCTGGCTTACATTGCATTTGGAGGTATTTACTGAAATAAAGAAAAACCTAGTACACTTACCATCACATAGTGCCTCTGCATTTCTGTCTTTTCACTTGCCAGTTTCTCACATTCCAATTTAAGGCTACAAAATAGATCACACTTTAATATAATTGTTATGTTATTCGTTTTGACATTTACCCACTTTATTTGTATATTAACAGAAGTAGCTAATTAAAAAACCTCATAAACCAACACACAAACACAGAAAGACTTAATTCATACTTTAAATACAAAGGCTGAACAGGAAATTGAAAAGGTATTTCATGGGAACTGTATGAGACCCAAACTGTTTCCAGGACCCAAACATATCTCGTCTTCATGCTTTAACAAAGAGCTGCTATGAAATACTACAACTTTCAAGCTGTAACAGCATTTGAATTTCTCTAAATTTACTACTTCTCAGAAGTAAAATAGAGGTATTTCTTTGTATGGGGCATTTAGTAAATTACTGAACAGTAACACTCACATTTACAATTACAACTTGAGTTGTAATCTATAGTTGTAATCTATAATCCTTAACCTTAAGTTATCTTGCCCACAGCATGAAAATTAGTACTTTCTATTATCATTTACTAGGGAGTTCTCTATTTTTGTTTTCATAAATGAAAAGCAGTTACATTCAGTACTTGCATACCTCATCACTAACAAGGGCATAATTCTAACTACTTTCACAGAGGGCAAATGCCTCGACATTCCCTTTGTTCTCTGGCACACTGATAATTTGATATTTTTTTTTTTATGACACCAGGAAGCATCCTAGGGAACAGTTAGTGTGTAAGCCATCTTTTTTCACTTACAGCTGTGATATCGAATGTTTACAGTTTACATTGCATTTCTAAATAAATAGCTTAGACAAGTTAATGGCTTTAGATAAGACTGCAGTATCATAGTTAAGAAAGAAGAAATCTAATTAAAACCAAACAGTTTTAAAACTGGGAAACCCGTAAAGGTTTTATTCCTACCCAGGTCTTGCAGGTACACACGAGCACAAAATTAAGAATAAATGCCCCATAATGCCCTGTGTATGCAAGAGCTCATACCCTAAATCTCCGCAGGGACCTCAGTAGCAAGCGCAGTAAGAACGCCTGAAGGACAGCACAACAATCAGAAACGCATGCCACAGCTTCAGGAGGTTCACGACACCTTTGTGTTAGTTGTGTTAGTACTGCAGTACTTGTGTGCTTTAACAGTCCTTCTTGGCTCTTCAAGCACCACACGTTAGCGTCGTATTAATCTTTGAATTAACACCACACACAAATGAGCAAACACGAGAATTAGCTTCCTTAATGCTCTGGGCCACAGAATTAGCGCTGGTCTTCTCTCGATATACTCTAAAAAGTCTCCCACAGAAGGATCCCTAACAATTTTTATTTTTTTTTTTTTTCCCCTCCAAACGCATTCAAGCGCCGAACCGCTCCAGTTTGGACACAACAATCTTTTCGCGGGTGCCCGGGTCGCCCGTGGGCAGGAGGGCAGGGCTGCCTCCTCCCGATCGCCCCGATCGCCCCGTCTACCGGACACACACACACACACTTTTTTTTTTTCCCCTCCAAACGCATTCAAGCGCCGAACCGCTCCAGTTTGGACACAACAATCTTTTCGCGGGTGCCCGGGTCGCCCGTGGGCAGGAGGGCAGGGCTGCCTCCTCCCGATCGCCCCGATCGCCCCGTCTACCGGACACACACACACACACACACCCACTCCCATCACCTCCCCGCCAGGGACGGGGACCCGCCGGAG